TTAACTTTATAAGCGGCGCCCCATAGAAACGTGCAAACGTACCACCAGAGGAATAGAGCAGACCAGGAACACGATGGTCATGAAGACCAGCAGCCAGAACATCTGGATCTCCGCGGCGGAGGTGACGGACGGCAGCCGCGGGAAGCAACGCCGCGAGCCGCTGTGCTCACACAGCTCCGTCCGCACGATCCCGGTCCTCTGGTTCATCCCCACCAGGACCCTGCACACCGCCAGGTTGCAGAGGACGGTGACGGCAATCAGCAGCAACATGACGCCTCCGTACAGGAAGGAGTAACAAGCTCCAACTGGATCCACCGACCTCCAGTCCAGGAAACACCAAGTGCCGGGGAAGTGCCGGACGTGCTGACCGAAGCCAAAGCTCGGCATGATGCACAGCACTATGTTAGCCAGGTAGATGACCAGGAGCGCAAAGCGCGCCATGGTCCGGTCTATGTGCATGGAGTAGAAATACGCATGGTTGATGGCCAGGTACCGCTCCACCGCCATGGCGCAGAGGATGGACATGCCCGCCGCGCCGAAGAACAGCATAGAGAAGGAGAAGAAGTGGCAAAGCAGCGCTCCTCCGGGCCACCTGCTGGCCACGTAGGTGGCGATGACCACCGGGCTGGTGAAGCACGTCCCCAGCAGGTCAGTGATGGCCATCCCGCACACCAGCGTGTAGAAGGTGGTTTCCTTCTGCTCCTTCTTGGAGACGCACAGCACCACGATGGCGACGAGGTTCCCCAGGACTCCCACGGCGAACATCGTGGCTGAAGTGACCAGAGACTTGGACTCTAGTCGCAGCGCGGGGAAGGTTGTCCGGTTATGGCTGGGAAGAAGGTGAGACAGCAGCGGTTCAGAAACATTTGGGTCCAGGTCTCCAAACGCAGCGGTCTCGTTGATCATTCTTAAAAAAAATAAAACAAAAATAAAAGGAAACTTTGTTTAAAGTTCAGAAAAAAAGTTGCTCCAGAAAAACAAAGATTGTGGCTCAAACTAATCCATCCATGCCTGCATGCATGACAGGTCCGCCTGAACACTTCAGCTCTCATCATGCCCTCATCGCAGCGCAGGCTCTCTGTTTACTGTCTTTAAGCGCGAGGCTGCGGGTATTTAAGCCGCGTGCTGATGTCAGCCCAGTGACGTGCGGTGAGACGGGTTTCCAAGAGTCCCACTGCAGCAGCCAGAGTGGGCTTCATATCAAAACCAAACACGTCACAGCTCCTTATAGGGAAAAAAAAAAAAACATCAGACAAAACTTTTAGTTTCTTCTCTTCATGTCGCTGCTGCCTTTCACTGCTCTATTATGCATATATCTACAAACACAGAGACCAGCACCTATTTATGGACTCAGATAAGAATAATCTGACTAAATCTAAATGCATCATCTAACCCCTCCTCCTTTATTTAATCCAGGGTCAAACCGCCGAACTTCAGCACCAAGGTCAGCGCCTCAATCACTTACAGCACATTTTCACCTCTGAGCTTCAGGGATGGAG